CAACCGGATCCGTGACTGTGGTGGCCGGATCCGCGCTCGTGGTGGCCGGATCCGCCGCTGGTGGCCGGATCTAGGCGGCGGCGAGCATATCCGACCGGCTCGCCTAGAAGCGCCGGTCGCGCCCCGTCGTGAGCCGCGCCTCGCCGCGGGCCCACCTCTGCGGTGCTAGACATTTGCGTCGTCTCCCTCTCGAGACGTTTATTTGCGTATCGGATCGGCTTGAACGCAAAATGCGCGTTGTGTCTGGGTCATCCGTTGGAGCGTCTTTCTTGTACCAAAAACACTGTAGACCGTCTTAGCTAAGCCAAAAAGGCTCCTCCAGGGATGGCTTGCTGGGAACGTGAGGGAGCTCCGTTTTCGTGGAGCTGGCTTGTGCTAGAGCGAGCACGCGTCCGCTCACCCCCACCCGCATCCCGCCGCTCACGCGCCGGCCACCACTCCTCCACCTGCATCCCGCCGCCTCCTTCGTGCCGGCCACCACACCTCCACCCGCCGCCGCTGCCACCGCGTATCGCCCGAAGCTCGTCGTCGACCCCAACTTGCGGCGGGTGTTGTTCGCGGAGGCCAGCGGGGAAGCCATCGAGTTCCTCCACTCCCTCCTCGTCTCGCCCCACGTCTCGCTGCCGTTCGACGGCGCGACCAGGAATGCTAGCATCACCAACGTCTCCGACAGTGTCGAGAAGCTTCGCGCGTTCACGGCTGCCGCCAACCTCTCCCGTGGCCCGCCGTCCACCGTGCTGCGCGCGCAGCAGGAGGAGCACTTCTTCATCTACGGTGACAGGAATGGCGGCGCCAGCTGCGGCGACTACGTCGTGGACAAGAGCGGCGCGAGGTGCCCGTCCTGCGGAGGGGAGATAGCCATGGAGGTGCCGCGTGGCTGTCCCGGGGCCAGTTGCTCCGACGCTTACGCCGGGGTACCGGAGGGGCCTGGCAACATGAAGGGGGCCGCCCTGACACCTCCAGAAGATCTGGCTGGCGAGCTGTGCTCCTCCTCCTTCTCCATCCCACCGGTCGGCGAACCTCCTCCTCCTCCACCCTACCGGCCGGCAAGGCCTACTCCTCCTCGTTGCCATGCTCGCCAGCCAAGGTGCTCGCAGTACCCACCGCCGCGTAGACGAGCATGCCCAGCACCTGTTCGACTAAAGTCGTCAAAGGTGGTAAACTTACCGGTTGAACGTAGAGGTGATTCTATGCAATTTAAATCAGGCAATCAAACTCTATGCAATCTAAATTAGGCAATCAAACACACCGAATCCTAGCCAGACTTAGGTAGTACAGGCAAGCAAACATATGCTGCTTGTATTGGCTGAAGCTGGCTAGAACTACTCTGTCTTATTTTTGCTAGCCAGGCTTGACTTGGTGAGGAAGTGAACCGAATAAAAATGGGACTCGAAACATCGGTCGTTTGCAGATTTAACACTGAACATATATTCATAGACATAAATGACTCACTTATCATCCACCCGGGTGTCATCGAAATGAAGGGTCAATCTTTCGAGCGTCTTTTTTGCAATTTTTTCGAACCGAACACGCCCATGGCATCCAAATGCTTTGGCAAGGCCGCCGTCGGTCGCCCTGTGCATGATTCTGGTACGACAGGCAAATGCACACACTGTTGACTGTTTGTATGTTCCATCCCGTCCACGTGCAGTGCTGGCTGGCTGTGCTGTGCTGGAGTAGGTCGATTCCTGCACCTGGTTCCAGCTCGCCGGACTCCGCCGAAACGGGCGCTTTCTCGCGTGGAAAGACGACGTGCGCATGCACCGGCCCGATCGATCCGCGGGTCGATCTCCTGTGCTGTGAGGCCAGCCGGCTGCTCGGTGTTCACTGATGTGCGTGCTCTCCCAAGAGGACGGCGGAGACGCGCGATCCGTTGCCGTCCACGGGCGTGCAATCCTTGAGCGAATGCACGACACGTCGACACCGTCTTCCGCAGCGTACTGCCTGTCTGCCTGTCCATGATTCCGTTCCGTGTGCATGTCCGTTCAATCAACGGAAAATAAAGGGCCAAATATTCCTAGACAAATCAGTTTTACAATCCGATACATTACTTAATAACGTGACTGGTCAGTTGACTAGATTAGTTTCGTGCGAAATCCTGCAAAATTACTAGAGTGCATTACACCAATCAAGCATGAAGTTGTGGTGGAGATCTGGCCCCGATGCGATCAGATACTGCCGAACTCATCTACCTTTTTCGGAAATGTGAAAAGAGGTCGCGAAGAAAGGAGACTTTAGAATGGAAATCGTACGCATACAGACGGTCAGTACTTGTCACACGGGTACCATCACTTTTGTCACGATGTGCCTTTGCTGGCTTTGTTTGTCCTATCACGTATACATTGCTAGTGTTGAGTGCTTGAGTGTAAGTGTAAGCGAGTAAAAGTGGATGAAAAGCGACGGATGTATTAATCTGGTGAACAGTAAACCAGTGATTGTATATATATACATGTCTAGAATAGGCAGTTGTTTTGTCAAGTGACACAAGTCACCGACGCCTCTCTGTGTGCCTACGGAGCCGTCATTAGCAGTTGCTAATGATGTGGATTAATTGATCACTATATAGTAAATCTTAACATTCCTCTTGATCAATTGGTTCCTTGTAGACATCATTATTTGTTCATCATTCATCATCTTGAAGCTTTAGAAAACCCCGTGGGAAAAAAACCAAAGTATACTGCTATACCAGACAAAACTCCTTAAAACCATGCGACAAAAATAAGGAAAAATATCATGATATATATAACTTCCAATGTTATTGGACCTTTGAGAGGGTCTCCAAAGACATAGTCTAAAAACAATTTGGTCAAAGATCAATATGTCACAAATATTATCTTCTAAAACCCTGTAGAGAAAAATAGATAATATGACACTCACTATATATGTTGACATCGCCTCATTAAAAACGTTACATGAGAAAACTCCAGAAGAGTAAAACTTGTATAAAGAAAAGAGTGCAATATGACGTTTGAATATATATTATGATTTAGAGGGATTCTCCCCCTGATTCTTACAAATCTCTAAGCCTTTTCATACCAATTCCTTCAACACATTTATGAAATGTGGAGATGGTAGAGACCTTGTGAACAAATTCGCAAGATTATCACCTGACTTAGTTTGCAAGATTTAAATTTCTCCATTCTTGTGCAGCTAATGAGAATAGAATAACTTTGGAGTAATATGTTTTGTCAGGGTTTCTCTTAATATAACCTTGATTAACGTCTGACACAACACAAGCCGCATTATCCTCAAAGATAATGGTTGGTGTCTCAAGTGCACCAATACCACATGATTGCATTATGTGGTTTATCATTTTGCGAAGCCATATGCACTCGCATGATGCTTCATATAAGCAATTATCTCAGAATGATTGGTAAAAGTAGACACTAACATCTACTTTGAAAACTTCTTAGATATTATTGTTCCACCTTGCAAGAATACAAAGCTTGTTTGTGATCTGTCATTGTAGGGATCTGATAAATAATGAACATTTGTATATCCCAACAAAAGTGGGTCTTGATTTTTACTGTAAAACAATTCAAGATCTCTTGTGCCATTGAGATATTTCAAAATAGTTTTAACTCCTACCCAATAACGTCTGGTAGGGGCAGCACTATGTCTTGCTAGAAAATTTACTGCGAATGCAATATCTAGTTGGATGCTATTAGCAAGATACATACGACACTAAGATATGGGACATGTGGTATCTCTTCTCCTTCCTCCTATGGTTTAAAAGGATCTTTCTCAATTTCTAAAGATCTCACTACCATCAGGGTTTTTGTTGGATATGACTTGTCCATATTGAATTTCTCCAATACTTTCTGGACATAGGTAGCTTGATATACAAATATACCAGAACAAAATTTCTTCAATACTTTCTGAATAAAGATGCTCAAGTTGTAAACCTAAACAAAATTTGGTTTGACCCAAATCATTCATTTCAATCTCCATCTTTAAATGATGTTGTACTTCATTAATATCGGGTTTGTTGCCAATGATATTAAGATCATCAACCTATATCAAAATAATGCAAAATCCTGTTGACGATTTTTTAGTGAAGACGTACACGAGTAGTTATCATTGTTTGTGTATCCCTTAAGAGTAAGGAATTCACTTAACCAATTGTACCACATTCGCCCTAACTGTTCGAAGCCATAATGACTTCAGCAACTTAACACAATACATGTTGCGATTTGCCCTAGGATTTGGTATACTGATTCCCTCGGGGACTTTCATGTATATCTCGGAATCCAATGACCCATACAAGTATGTGGTCACTACGTCCATCAACTGCATAGATAGATGATTTTGTACTGCTAGTGATATTTGATATCAGAATGATATTCCACCCATTACCAGAGAGTAATTTTCGTTGAAATCAACTCCAGATCTTTGCGTAAAACCTTGTGCCACAAGCCTTGCTTTATATCTCACCACTTCATTGTTTTCTTTGTTTTACAGACGAAAACCCATTTGTACCCACAGGGAAGATACCAGAGGGTGTTGGCAATATGGCCGAAAACACTTCCCTTTTATAGAGCGAGGCATATAGTTTGTGCCATCCATTCAAATACGTCTTCGATTCGAATTCTCTTTCGAAACTGGACGCGTGCTATTCTAATTAGTATGAGCATGGATCGTGTGGATTCATCATGTACTACTACTCTTAATAAAATCGGATGACTCTTACACTCGTGGAAGTAAAAGAATAGATGGACCGGAGAAAGTGACAGCCCGAGAGGCGGAGAAAGAAATTTTCTCCTTTTAATATTAGATTATAATTATAAAGTAGTAATAATAGAGTAATGTATGTGTATATAGATATAGATTGTTTTTATTGTAATCATTTGTGTTCTGTAATAACTTTAGTATTTCTCACTTATGGGGATTAAGCCTATTACTAAAAAAGTGCATATAGATATAGATAACCCAAATAATTAATGTATAGTGTAGCGGAGTGGTATGGTCTCTGTTTTACGTTATACATAAGTGGAGTGGAGATGGCCAAGGCAGCTACGTACGCTAGGCACAGTTGTGGCTGTGCAGAACTGCACAAGAGCGCTTCGCCTCCACCACCACGAACGGAGAAGGAGGCGGCCATGGCTATGGAGGAAACGAGCAGGATGACGGGCAGGGAGAAAGGTGGTCTTAGAACAATGCCCTTCATCTTCGGTAAGAGAGTTTACTAATCAGCAGCAATTGTGTTTTCTGGGGGTCTTAATCTCAATTGGTTTGATTTTTTGCGTTTGCACGTACACCCGCAGCCAACGAGGTGGCGGAGAAGCTCGCCGTGGTGGGCTTCTCGACCAACATGCTGACGTACCTCACCACGCAGCTGCACATGCCGCTGGCGAAGGCCGCCACCACGCTCACCAACTTCGGCGGCACATCCGCCGCGACGCCCCTGATCGGCGCCTTCCTCGCCGACGCCTGCATCGGCCGCTTCTGGACCATCGCCGCCGCCTCCGTCGTCTACCAAGTCGTACGTGCCAATTGCCAAGCAATGCATACAGCATACGTGGGCCGGTGGTGAACTGAGGCTGCGAATGAATGATCACTGACGTTGCCGGATGGATGGCGCACAGGGCATGGCGCTCCTGACGGTGTCAGCGGCGCTGCCGCAGTTCCGCCCGCCGTCGTGCAAGCCGGGCGGCGCGGTGACGTGCCAGGAGGCCGCGCCGTGGCAGCTGGCGGTGCTGTACGTGTCCCTTCTCCTGAACGCGGTGGGCGCCGGCGGGTACCGCCCCTGCATCGTGGCGTTCGGGGCGGACCAGTTCGACGAGTCGCGGGCGGCGGAGCGCGCGCGGAGCTGGGGCTTCTTCAACTGGTACTACTTCTGCAACGGCGCGTCCATGCTGCTGGCCGTCACGGCGGTGGTGTACGTGCAGGACAACGTGGGCTGGGGCTGGGGCCTCGGCGTGCCGGCCTTCTGCATGGGCGTCTCCGTCGCCGCCTTCGTGGCCGGGTACCCGATGTACCGGAGGCTGGAGCCCGCGGGGAGCCCGTTCACGCGGCTCGCGCAGGTGGTCGTCGCCGCTGTCAAGAAGCGGTGGCTGCCAGCGGCGGACGTCGACCCCGCGAGGCTGTACGAGAACGACGAGCTCGACGTGCCCATCTCCATGTACGGCAAGCTTGTGCACACGGATCAGCTCAGGTACGTACCTGCGTCCGCTGCCTTGCTCTGTTCTTCCACTGCCGTGCACTGCATCGACTGGCGACAACCCACAATCTTTAGCCGATAGAGCATAAGAAATTGCCAAGAAAGGATCACGGACAGGGCAGATCTAATCACAAGGCCATGTCAAGTGGCGCCAAAAATGGACATCGTGCCATGCTGCAAGCCCGCAACGGTACAATTTCTCGTGCTGTCCGGTCTTGACTTTAACACTGATGAGAGAAAAAGATCACAACGCACGGGTCCACGTTTGTTTCCTGAAGGAACAAGCGTGATTGCAGTCTCGGTTAATTGTAATTGTCACTACAAATTTAATTTCAACCATATCACTCCAAATTTATGTTTCGTCCATAACATAAATTCGAATTTCGATACTAAACTGTCACTCAAAATTTGAGGTCGACTGAGACCGTTTCCCGGGCATGCAGCTTCTTTGACCGCGCGGCGATCGTCACCGACGGCGACCTGGTCACGCTGACGGACGCAGACTCCGGCAAGCCGTCGCCAGCCCCTGTCCCGAACCCGTGGCGCCTGAGCACCGTGCACCGCGTGGAGGAGCTCAAGTCGGTGATCCGCATGGGGCCCATCTGGGCGGCGGGCATCCTGGTGATCACGGGGTCATCGACGCAGCACACCTTCTCCCTGCAGCAGGCGAGCACCATGGACCGCCGCCTGGCGCCGGGCCTGACCACGTTCCAGATCCCCGCGGGGTCCATGACCGTCTTCGGGCTGCTCGCCATGCTCCTCACCCTCTTCGTCTACGACAGCGCGCTCGTCCGCGTGGCCCGCCGCTTCACGGGGCTGGACCGCGGCATCTCCTTCCTCCACCGCATGGGCGTCGGCTTCGCCATCAGCGTGCTCGCCACCCTGGTGGCCGGCTTCGTGGAGCGGCACCGCAGGGACGCCGCGGCGGTGGCGGCCGGCGCCACGGACGCCGGCACGTCCCCGCTGTCAGCCTACTGGCTGGTGCCGCAGTACGCGCTGCACGGCGTGGCCGAGGCCTTCACCTCCGTGGGGCACCTCGAGTTCATGTACGACCAGGCGCCGGAGAGCATGCGCAGCACGGCGACGGCGCTCTTCTGGCTCTCCATCTCGCTGGGGAGCTACGCGAGCACGCTGCTGGTGGACGTCGTGCACCACTGGAGCGCGGGCCCGGCGGCGCCAACTGGCTGCCGGACAACATCAACCACGGCAGGCTGGACTACTTTTACTGGGTCGTCACGATGCTGCAGGTCATGAACCTGCTGTACTACGCCATTTGCGCCAAGCGGTTCAGGTTCAAGCCTGTACAGCTCCACAAGGAAGAGGAAGAAGGCGGCAAGGCAATTGTGGAGCTGCAAGAGAAGGTTTGAGCAGCGTACCCTTTCAGCTATGCGCAGGTAGAAAGAAGGTGCTACCATTAGTGCTAGGAAGGTTGTCAGAAACTCCAAGTCTTTACAATACTATGGGCCTGTTTGGTTCCTTCCCCTCCTCCTAAAATTCCTGTCACATCGAATGTTTGGACACATGCATGAAGTATTAAATATAGACTAATTACGAAACTAATTGCACAACTTGCGACTAATTTGCGAGACGAATCTTTTAAGCCTAATTAGTCCATGATTTGACAACGTGGTGCTACAGTAAACATGTGCTAATGATAGATTAATTAGGCTTAAAAAATTCGTCTCGGAAATTAGCCTCCATCTATGTAATTGGTTTTGTAATTAATTTATATTTAATGCTCCTTATTAGTCTCTAAACATTTGATGTGATATAAATTTTAGGAGCGACTAAAGAGCCAAACACCCCCTATATGTATGTGAGCATCTGGATTAAAATCCTCATAATATTGCAGGTAGATCAAGGAATGCAGGGAGGTTGTTCAGGCAAGCAACCTCATAATATTGTCAATGGTCAAATGACAGTTGACAGCTTTGTCAATGGCAGTCTGGTAGAAGCTATCTGGTCTGGTCCTGAGACTTGGCACAGCTAAAAATTACAAATCAACTATATATATCTGTAACTAGGAAGCAAGCATGAGGCACATGTTGAACCTTGACGTTAATACATATAGGACTCTGATTGTACATTAGGGTCTACGGATAAACACAGAGATTGTCAAGGCAAATTATGCAACACATTTCTCGGTGCCAGAAACAATTCGATCTCCAATCCTGGCATAGCTTACAGATTATTAATAATCAGACTTAGTAGTAGGAAACAGGTTTGCACACACAATCTGACACGAATTCCCCCAAGCAGAGTTTTTCAGGTAAACAAACTACAGTGCACTGTCGCCTCTGATCTTTAATCCTAGTAGTAGTACATAATAGGACGCGCGGCGAGACGCGAACCTGTCGCGGGACGGGCGGATCAGACGGTGAACTTGATCTCGAACCCGGCGGACGGATCGACGGGCTCAGCCGGGGACGGGACGACGGCGGTGACGGTGGCGGGTGGGGGGCCGACGGGGAGGCGGCGGGTTATCATGTCTTCGATCTTCGCGGGGTCGCCGGAGAGGAGGGCCTCCACGCTGCCGTCGCGGCGGTTGCGGACCCAACCGGCGAGGCCGAGCGACTCGGCCGTGGACGCCGTCCAGTCGCGGAACCCCACCCCCGTGACGCGGCCCTTCACCACCACGCGGACCGCCTTCCGTGCGGGCTCCAGCTGCGGCGCGGCTGGTGGCGTGGAGGCGTCGGGATCGGCTGAGGAGGCCATGGCCGCGGTGGTGGTGGTGGTACGGTTGTGGACTTGTGGAAGCACGGGCCGTGGAGACTGGAGACCGGAGAGGAACGAGACGAGACGGCCGAAGCAACGAACTGCTAGAACTGGAAGATTCTGGAAAGCCAAGGCCTGCCCTAGTAGGACAGCCCAAGCCAGGCCCAATAAATTTAGTGACCCTGTGCGGCTGGGTCGCGCTCGCGGCCCGTGGCAGAGGGTGTGATGGGCTACGGTGCCGTGGCGGCGGTTGCGGACCCACCCGGCAAGCCCAAGCCCGGCTCAATAAATTTTGTGGGCTGTTTTGTTTTACCTTGTTTTAAAAATGTGGTATTATTTATCTATATTCGCAGTGTCCCTTTTCCATGGTTACTTCTCGCAAGCAATGCTGCATATATTTCTTGCCTCTCAGCTTGTGTCATTTTCTACGTCGATGTGCATTATTTTCATTTGCATGTACATTTTCAACATGAGTCCTGCATCAAGGGCTATCTCCATAGCATCAGTGCACACACCATAATCATGCATATCCTCAATCTTGTCTAAAAAAAACCCCATGTTCTTGTGACTCTTGGCCAAAAAAAAATCCATCCTTACTGGAGATACAAATATTTATATATGCAACATTTGTAGTGCTTTGTGCCTATAAACATCACCTCTTCATTATTACTAAGCTAATGGCCTTCTTATTCCTTTTCAGGTTGTATTGTTTCTTTGGTTTGGATTATATTATTGCAAGGCCAGTCTTGGTATGCTATACTAATGGCTTGTATTCAAGAGACCCTTTAGTTCATTTCTTCAAATGCATGTAGTTTATACAAGTTATAAATTTTACAGTAGCTCTGGGTGATAGTTTCCTATGGGTAAGATTTTTCAGACAAGTGTTCAGAAAAAAAAACACCGCAAGTAGTATACCCACAAAATGTATACCAAGTAGTGTTAGGAAGGCACACAATGTACACCAAGTAGTGTTAGGAAGACGCTGGAGATTACTTGGGTGAGATATTGCTTCTCTTGTGGTAGCTATTAGCTTGATCTCTTAAGTCCTAAGCTACGCAAATCAAGTACATCAACCTTTGAAATGTGTTGTAAAAAAAACCCTTTGAAATGAATATGGAAACATGAGTTAGTGACAAGAGAGAAAAATCTATGTGAAGAAATAGACAAAGATTGACAATTGCATTATAGGTTTCACTAAAATTGAATCTAATTTGCCAAACATTTAGCCAAGTATTTAACGACTCTATTTCTACATGAGTTTTAAAAATAAGCTAAACACAACAAATCATGACATTTAGGAAAATATCCCCTAAGTGTCTACTCCCTCTATCCCAAAATATCTGCATTTCTATAACTGGGTATGACAACAAGACGGATGGAAAATTACCTAAATACCCTCAGAGATGTCACCCGTTGCGATGGTGGATCGATGACTCTGGAGAAGCAAGAGAGTTCTCCAGTCGGGGAAGCGTCATTTCACACGTTGAAGACGGCAGCCCTTTTTTTATTTTATTATGGCAGGATGGGTCACGCGGCCCCGGGCATCTGGATGGGCCGATGGAGCCTCCATTGATTTTTTTTCCTTTTGTTTTTTAGTTCTTTTTTTATTTTTTTGGTCGGACACCCTAGCGCTGTGCGGCTATAGGCTGTCGCGTATGGATGACTGTCTAGCGCTGCACCCTGCACTGCTCTGATGGTTCCTGCCGTTGCTGCACGCGTCCGCTGCTGGCTCAGGCCGAAAAAATTTGAACTCCAAACGTGCAAATATACTGGGACGGAGGGAGTAGTTTAATCAATGTATGTACTCATAGAAAAGGTAGGAGTAAGTAGAAAGGTTTCTAGTAAGTTGGAGTCAAATTCATCAACAGGGACATCGATGATCCTCTCACATCTCTCGTGACTGTAGCGTGGACACTAGACAATCATCTCTCGTGACTGTAGCGTGGACCCTAGACAATCATCTCTCGTGACTGTAGCGTGGACACTAGACAATCTCCATAGTTTTTCCTTTTTGAATCAATCCATAGAAATATTGAAAGCAAATCTAAGCGCCAATGCGCCATCCACAACCGTTTTCTCTCGGAACAGAGCAGATAACTACAGGCACGGCATATTTGTCAGAAACACCACAGTTCACAGGGCTGCATAAGACATGATCACAAGAACCGAGTGCATGCATCAAGCAATCACCATCCTGGCCCACTCATCGAAGCAGCTCCTCGTCGTGATTGAGATTATTTGACTCAACGCCGTAAATTAGCACTAACAATCTCCAGGAAAAGAATGACCACGCCGCACGGATGGCCGACGAACCAGCTCACCAGTCAGGCGGTGGGCTTGCGGTGGAAGCCCTCGTCGGGAGCGACCGGTTCGGCGGGGGAGGGCACGACGGCGGTGACGACGGCGGCGGGCGGGCCCACGGGGATCCGCCGGGACACCATCTCGTCGACCTTGTAGGGGTCCCCTGAGAGCAGAGCCTCCACGGTGCCGTCACGGCGGTTGCGGACCCACCCAGCGAGCCCCAGGGAGCGCGCCGTCTCCACGGTCCAGTCCCGGAAGAAGACGCCCTGCACGCGGCCCTTCACCACCACGCGCACCGCCTTGGTGGGAGAAGACTGCTGCTGCGTCGGCGGCGGGTTGCTTGGGCCGCCCGCGGATGCCGCCGCCATGGCGCGGCGGGGTGCGGTGGCGGTGTAAGGGGCGGAGGAAGCGGGGCGCCGTGGCGGAGGCGGAGGTGGAGGGGAACATTCTGGAGCAGGCAAGGAGAATGCGATGCGATGTTTGGACCACGGACTGATTCGGACTTTCGGAGCCAGGCTGAGTCTGAGGTCTGAGCGATCTGGTTGGCCTGTGTCGAGGTAGCCCACTGGACCGAACCAACATTGAGTTGACCAAAACCGGGAGGATAGTTGTATTTTTTTTTCCTTTTTTTTTGAAAGAGATTGTTTTTTTTTCTTGGATCTTCTTTGTATTTTTTCCCTTAGGATCTTCCTTTTTTCCGTAACGCATGTGCATCTTTTTTTTTTAAATTATACAGTAAACACACGTACGCAAACCCTACCCCTATGAGCACCTCCGAAGGACTGAGCCGGTTGATCTCGAGATTCACGAAGTCACCACAGGCATCTTGTTGTCAATGGGAACGTCGCCTACAACTGAAAGCATAGCGCCGTTAAATCAAAGAACTAGATCAAGCATCTCGACCCCTCTTAAATCGTATGGTAGAAGAAAAACAATGACCTATATGTACTACTTACAGAGATCAAGTTTGCACTTAGAAACGATAGTGTCCTAACCTTTGTGCATATCCTTTGGTCCAATGTATATATAGAATCTGAAATCCATGGCCAAGAATACCATGTAGCCATAAATATCACTAATAATAGTAATTACCCCCTTGTAAAATACACGTCTGTTATATAGTGTGTTCATCAATCATTCATATAGACATATGTTCATCAATCACTAAAACCAAATTTAGGGGCTTAATGTGTTCACACTACCGATTCCTCAGCCAGCCATCTTAATCTCAATCGCCACCACCGCTCATCTTGAAGCTCCCTTTAGGTCTATCGGAAACGTGTATAACTCCTCCAAACGCTAACCCCGCTCTCCCCTACATCACCCACGACCCACCCACCCACCCTAAAACATCACCAGAGCTTGCAACAGGTAGAGAAGAAGGGAACTTGGCAATTAAAAAATTGGATGTGGGTGAAATGATTTCACCCAGGTGTGATATAGCAAATTTGTTTTCATTATTATGTGTCGTTGATCTATGAGCATCACTTAAAGCCACAAGTCACATCTGAATCCTTAATTTTTTATCCCATGGACCAAAAACCAAGTGTCAAGAAACAGCTAAATTATACTAGTGCCTGTCGATCATATTTTAGAGTGTTTGGACCCTACAAAATACTCACTCCATCCACATAAGAATGTAATTCTAACAAAGTACCATGTTAAAGTATCTTGACTTTGACTAACTATAAATAAAAAAATAATACTTATAATATCAAATAAGTATTATTATATTTGTCATGAGATATATTTTCATACTATATTTATTTGGTGTCATAAATATTAATACTTTTACCTATATATTTGGTTAAAGTTTAGACACGATAACCAACAATACATCTAGAATTGCATTCTTTTGTGGACAGAGAGAGTACTTGAGCGTCACAAGCCTTCAAAAACATGAGTTTTAGATAGGCATGTCCCAAAATAGCAGTTGCTAAATTTGGTCAAAATTGCTTAAGCGTTACAATATCATGAAATATGATTTGCCACTTTTTTAATACAGATCACCATTTTTTGTCACCTATCAAAGATTAGATTTTTTGTAAATGTATAGATTACAAACACTATTTATTTAACTTTCTTATTTATGTATGTACAAAAGTACTCGCAAATTTGCTAATTCAAAAGAAGAATTTAATAGTAAGTAGTACAATATATTTAATATATTTAAACTACATCGTTACTAGACAACAAACTACATATTTTTTTAAACTACAACAAACTACATCATTTTACTAGACAACAAAGATAACTTTGTACGCATATATGCAGGACACAACAAATAGAGCTCACATGAGCAATAGTACTCAAACGAAGCCTCCTCCACTTTGCACGAGTGTTTGCATTTTTCTTATTGTCAAAATTTAACAGAGCTTCCCTAAAAAAAAGTTAACAGAGCTATTCTTTTGGTAGTAGAAAATGTGCCCATTGACAAAAACGGACATGTGATGACTTCACTGTCGACTTAGTATTTCGAATGTGCTCATATCAATAGGGTTTTTGTGTGTGTTCATAGAGTTGAGTGTGCGTGCATATTTACGATGGGCATATGTGTCTGTACCATGTAACTAAAAAATAGCTTTATTAAATTTTTCATGAAATATATCTTGATAATTTATTTCAACTTGTAGATATTAATGTATTTTTTTCTAAAAACTTGGTCAACATTGAAGGATTTTGACTTAGAACAAAACTAA